CCTCATACTTACCTGGCGGCAGAGTCCACCGCTCATTAAGGGTGGATTCTCCTGGTGTCCCACCTTCATGGCACAACGAAGGTAGGCACCATGCCAGCTGTCTTCGGGCACCTGGGCTGCTTAATTTTTGATTTACCCATCCTGAGATTTGTTCTCTTTTTTTCATTTTTCCTATTCTTTCTCTGGCGGGAATGCGAGGGAAGAAAAGGAGATCATCTTATGTTAAAAGGCCCTTATTATCTACTTAGAAATGATATGCGAATTCTGACATTTCAATTGCGTGCCTAAGAAAACTCTTGCTGAATTTTATCTATCATTCCTACTTATTCTTCTCTCTCTCTTCACGTTACCAAACGCTTTATTTTACTTCATGTAACATTGTTTCTCTGGTGATACAGCAAATACGATGGGACGAAGAGACGAAATTTTTCCATTGCCATTTTCCACCTTGACCTCCCAGCCCAAAATGAGCCATCTCTGACGAGAATGCAGGTTGTCTGTGGGCCGGAGGATATTGCCAAAGAAACCGGATTGAGGATTGAAAAGAGAGGAAGAAAATATCACTACCTACCGATTATCTACGTCCCTCCGAAATTGCGGAAATAGCCCAGACTGCATCATCCTCACTCAACCTTCGTTTACCATTGATTACTGACCCTCTGAGGAAATTTTTGGAAGAAAACCAAACAACTTCTTGGATTACTGAAACGATTTTACTGTACCGGAAAATCGCCAAGCACTTGCACATTCTCCTCCGGAAGACCGCCACATCTAGATTAAGATTAGGAAGCATCTTGCTAGGAGGACAGCGGCGGTGGCTTTTTTGTGAAATTCTAGACAAGACTTGACCAAATATCTCTGGGGGCTGTAAAAGGAGACAACTCCCCAGGCGACAGACAGGGGGCAAGATGCAGATATTGTCAGAGATATTCTGAAAACAATTTCGGCATTGTTCGTATAAGGGGGCCATGGCAAAGGGGGCTTCTTGTCAGGTCTTCTTTCCTCTGAGAGCCACATACTATGATACCTAGGTTCCGATCATCTCCCTTGAATATCGAGGCAACCCTATGTGGAACTATCTACTAGAAGAGGCAAAGGCCAAACGCGATAGTAGGCAGCTTAGATTGGGGGAACTCATATGATGTATCCTAACGCTGGGCCAGCCTCTAGAGAAAACCTAGTTCTTGGGATTCATTCCCATGCTGCACTGGTTTACCCGGGGCTGCCGGGCCATATAGCTTTCAACTTATTTCAGAGGGCTATTATCTCCCCCTTCTCCTTCTTCCCCATCGCACTCCCAGCTATTCCAGGACGGGATGAAAGTGGTGTATTTTTGGGCCTAGTAAATCAGGAATCGTCACTCAATTGTTAGCCTCTATATCTCACAACCACCTTCTCGCTAGCCCTCTCCAAATCTTAAGTCCTGAACCCTATCATTTCCCAATCGGCCAAATCCTGAAAGCCTTGGCACCCCCCACTCTCCACCATAAATACTTCCCACTCCCCCCACTCCCTCCTCCTTCTCTCTTCATACTTACCTAGCGGCAGAGTCCACCGCTCATCTAGGGTGGATTCTCCTGGTGTCCCACCTTCATGGCACAACGGAGGTGGGCACCGTGTCAGCTGTCTTTGGGCACCTGGGCTGCTCAATTTTTGATTTACCCCTCCTGAGATTCGTTCTCCTTTTTCTTTCTTTCGTTTTTTCCTTTCCTTTCTCTGGCGGAAGGGCGAGGGGGGGAAAGGAAATATCATATTTGGAAATAGGATTAAGTCTGGACTCCGGTTAGTTGTTTGAACTCGGATACTTTCTCAGGTCTACAAATTCATTACACTATCATACCCCAGTCCACAGCTGGCGTCCGATGTGTTTGTGTGGAAAGTAACGCACAATTTGTGTGCTTTGATAGCTATAGATATGTGTTATGTCTTGTTCTACTAAATCGCTGCAACACATCGGTTTCACAAACTTCATGCGGTTTGATCGAACCGCCTCCAGATGTATATGTACAGTACAAGGTTGCACCTGGGATAGCCCCGCCGCCTTTCTTCAGCCCTCCCCAGAGATCCACCAACTATGATAATTCTATGATACTTACAAAGAAATCACCATCGACCACATGCAAGAGAGAAAATGTCACAATCCTCCAGTGTTAACATAAACATTTTCAATGTCTCGAATCACCATATTTTTTCCGATGATCGATCCAAGACTCCGGCCTGGCTATCCCTCCCTCCTTGAGCCGCGGGTATGGCATCAGGACCCCCCCCCCCCCGAATACGTCAGGTCCGCAACGTGAAGAACTACCTCCTCGAAACCGACGGATTTTGAAGCTCACTCAATTGAAGTGGGAAAGACGAATGCGACAACAGTCTTGCTTTCTTTCCTACGGGGATCTAAGAACCAACAAGACCCATCTTGGGTAAGTGTGATGACCCTCAAGGAAGGAAAAGCAGTGTTCTAAAATCATGACGTTTCCTCCTTGGTGACAGCTAGCGAATGCGATGACTACCTCCACCTTGACCTCACCACCCAAAACGAGCGATCACTGATGAGCATGCAGGCTGTCTGTGGGTTGGAGGATGTTGCCAAAGAAACTAGTTTGAGAATTGGAAAAGGAGGGAAAAAATGGAACCATCTACCAAAGACCTACGTCCCCCCGAAATTGTGGATATAGCCTACTCGTAGACCACCTTATCCTTTCACAACTTTCGTTCATGATTGATCATTGGTACTCTGAGCTAACTTTCGGAAGAAAGCCAACTTCTTGAATCACCGAAACAAGTTCATCGGAGAATCACCAAGCACTTGCGCATTCCTCTCTGGAAGACCACCACATCCAAGTTGACCTTGGGAAGCATCTTTCTAGGGGGCCAGCGGCGGTAGGCTGTTTGTGAAATTCCAGTCAAGACACGCCACTATCTCCATTAGATGTCGGAAAAGGAGGCAGCTCCTTCCCCGGGCGACAGACAGTGGGCTAGATGCAGATATGATCAGAAATATCCCGAAAACTGTTCCGGCACGGCACGTCGTTGAAGGGAGCCATGACGTAGGTTCAATATAATTTACCGTAGCGAACCACAGGGTAACAAACCGACCCGGTTTACGCACCCTACAACATCACATCCAAGGGGTAAGTCAATTCCACACCTCCGCCTACCCCGCAGCACATCTGGAAAGTAAACATGAAGCTTCATGTCAAGTCACTCCCCCACAGAAAGCCACAGACCACCTAGGCTCCGATCAGCTCCCTTGAATACCGAGGCAACCCTACGGGGAACTATCTGCTAGAAGGGACAAAAAGCTAAACGCGATAATGGACAGCTTACTATAGGTTCGGGGAACCCACATGATGTAACGCTAGAGCGGATAGAGTGCGGGGTGGGCGGAGGGGGGGATCAAGACTTAAGATAGCAACTCTAATATAGATCTCTCACTCAGAGCAGCCGTCGCATGTTGCAGGCCCCCGCAGGCCGTTCTACTAGCAACTGGCAATGGAATCCCCAGTATTGTATATATATAACCCAGGGCAACCCCCCACCACCGCCGCCCGGTGCATAGCGTAACTGAAATATGCCAGGAAGCCCAAGACCCACAGCGCCATTTCGTAGAAAGCCTGCCACCTTTCTTCCCTCTCTCCCTCGGTCAGACTCTCCAATAGCCCAGGTACAGTAGAGTACTGTAATACCTAAACCAAACATTACGCCAGGTCAAAAACTCCGAAAGTACCCCGAACACAGTCCTCCAACCTCTGCTCCCACGCAACGAAAGAAAATGGGGGGGGGGGGTCGGAGAGAGTGCGAGACTCGAGACCCTCCTCGATCAGGCCCTTGCCTTGCAGGCCGCCGAGTTGTGGGGGACTTCTTGATGAACGGATGGATAGTCTATATGTACTAGTACAGTACAGTACACGACGACGCGACCAAAAACGACCGAATAAAGTGACTTTTCTTGACAGCGGAGTCCACCACCTCTCGAACGTCGCCTCAGACATTTGAGAAACAATCAAGACACTGCGGACCGATCCATCATCATCTCAGGTTTTTTTTTTGCCAAACCCCGCTCGCTCCGTTGATGTATCTCAGATAAACAGCGTTCCGAGAATCTCGTCCAAGTTAATTACCACTCTCTCCCGGAGAACGGGGTGTACGTATTTGTACAGTAGCGCTAGTTAGTTAGTTTCCTAAAGTTTTGCTCACCACCCGTACATAGTAAGCATAATACGCACGACGGATAGGTGGATAGGTGAATAGCGGTTTGTGTGGGAACTGCAGTGGCAGCGGTGGCGGGTATCCACCGCACTGTAAAGCACTGTACTGGGCTCGGGCGTGTCCAAGAAAAAGTCGATAGAGATTTCTGTAGGAACAGTACAGTTACCGGTCCTGTGCCGCCACGTCCTTAAAGCTTCTCGTATCCTACTCGAGTGCCTCGAGGGTGAATAAATAGCGATACCCATGGACAGGGCAGCAAGAGCCTTATGCCGACACGGTAAACCCTTTGTCATAATTCGCTTTGCCGAGTAACAAACTGGGCTACGGTAGCAGTGCGGTATCGTACTGTACTGTACTTGAACCCGGTGGACGTGACTGTAAATCACTCGTGCAAACGGGTGAATAAACTACGGTAGGTTGGCCAGTCCTGGGACTAAAAGCAAAGCATATCATACCCCCCCCTTCCCCCCGAGCAGCATTCATCACCTACCCGCTCCGAACTCCAACACCCCATACGATACTGCACACACTCCAAACGCCAGCACACGACACCCGTGTCCTCCCAGTCTCAAAAGGGTTTTTTTTTTTTTTTTTTTTTTTTTTCGCCCCCCCCCCGATCGCAATCAAACCTATCGCACAATTCTTACTTACAGCTCTCCTACACTACTAGTACTGTACGGTACAGTACTGTACCGTTCACATATATAAATTTTAGCACATGAGCAAAGTCATCCAGTGACAAAAAAGTTACGAATCACCACCACTCATTAGCACTCACGGAAAATCCACAATAGACAGATAAAACCATGAAATTAGTTTTGGAACCAAAATTCCCTCCCCTGTTTTCTCCTTTGCACCTTTACTCCACCTCACGCAGACGCGTGAACCCGTACCGCACCGCGCCGCATTACAGAGAGGGGGAAAAATGAATAAATAAAAAATAGATATAAAAAGGAAGCAAAAGTGGAAAAAGGTTAAAACAAAATATTTGATGGATATCGAGCAATGGAATGGGATAAGAGAAGGGAGGCAGTAGAAGGGTGAGTAAAATAAATCAGAATTAGAACCGGTTCTAGCGTAGCGGGCGGTAGGTGGTAGGTGACAATACGACAAAGTGATATCGAAAATATATATATATATACATGGTGGACAGGAAAGCAAGTAGAAAGCGTAAATCATGTGCAAGCTTGAAAAAAAGGCATCAAATCCGTAACACTCCAGGTATCTGTAACGACAAATAAACTGAGAAATGAGCAGAGAGAACATTCGCCATTGCCACTTTGAGGGCAAAAAAAGAGGGGGGGAGTGGGTATTTTATTTAACTGAGGAGCTTCTTCCACCAGCTTTTCTTGTTACCACCGCCCCCAGCAACACCACCCTCATAGTCGGTCAACCCACCATTAAACCTTTCCCTCTCCAACTTCTTCTTCGCCCTTGCGGCACGGCGTGCAGCTCTAACCTCGGGGTCCTCCGTCTCCTTGGACCTCTTCTCCTCCTTCCTAGCATGTTTCTTCGCCCGGCGCTCTTCGTCAACTACTATGGGTCCTTTTTCCGTCATCACGTCTCTTTCTAGTGCCCTTATCGCCTCTTTGCGTTGTCTCCTACGCTCCCTGAGTGCTTGCTCCTCTTCCATCATGTCATTGGAGTAGCTGGACGAGAAACGGTGATTGTTCGCATCTTCGCTTTCAGGGATCTGCTCGGGGGTTATTGAGCCGCTGATGTCCTCCCTGTTCTGCCAGAGGCTGGCTTCTTGTGCCTTGTGTGCTTCTCGGCGCTCTCGGCGTATTCGGCGACGCTGCTCGCGCTCATATTCCTCGTTGTAAGGGTCGCTCCGCTCACCGCCAGGAATGTAGGCACCCGAGTATCTTCTGTTGATGCCGCTCATGGCCCTCGCCAGGTCCTGTGCATGTTGGATCTGATCGCTATTGGAGCCGGACATGCTGACACGACCATGAGCGCGCTGTTGCGTTTGGTCACTGTTTGACCTGGACATGCTGACGCGGCCCTCTTTTGCAGCCCTCTTAATGCGGCGGGCTTCCCTTCGGGCTTCCTTTTCCTCTCGGGTTTCGCTGGCCTCGGCTGGGATGCCAGAATTTCTCCTGGATGACTTCCGTCTCTCAAGTTTTTGTCGGCTTGCAGCGATGGCCTCCTCCCGTGCCCTTAGTTCGGCTTCTCTTAGCAAAGCTTCCTGCTCAGCTATTCGCAACCTAGCTTCCTTCTCTCTGATCTCGGTCTCCTTCCTTGCCTTCTTGGCTCGCCTCTCGGCGCGTCTCCGCTCCTTTTCGGCACGCTCACGCTCTTCTGCTTCGATGCGCGCCCTTTCCTCAGTTTCAGCACAGGCCCTATGCTCGGCTTGCGCCCTCTCCTCAGCTTCCCTGCGCAATCTATCCATCTCTGCTTGTTCTGCTGCCAGTTTCTTGACGCGCCGTCGCTCCCTGCGAGCTTTGTCTCCATCGACATTCTCCGAGGAATGCGTCTTCTTCCGCTCCATTGCGATGGCGACACCTTCGGGCTCTTGGATCGACACCTTGCGGCGGCGGCGTTTCTCTTTGACTTCCTTGCCATTCGTAGCATGTACCTCCTCTTGAAGCTCGCGGTACTTGCGACTGCGATGACGATGGGGCTTCTCCTCCGGAAGCTCTTCTGGTGCGAGTGCTCTGGGCGCAGGTGGGTCATGGTCAAAGTGGTAGGCAGGGTAGCCCTGGTAACCCGGATATCCGATGTAATGTACCGGGGCCGACGCCGCATCGAAACTGTGCTCTCGGCTCTGCCCTCCCATTGGAGATTCTGGTTCTGGCGCCGGTTCGGATTCACGCTCTTGTTCGGGCTCTGATTCGGGATCTTTCCGAGACCAATGCTCGTGATCTTCGGCGTTAGCGTCAGCTTCGCCTCCGGCAGCCGGTTCGGACCCAGGGTCTGCGTTCGCGGAAACACCAGAGGCAGCGGAGCCAGATCCAGATCTAGTTCCCCAACCGGTCAACATTCCCATAATCAAACCGGGACCAGAAGTAGGAGACGCCTCAGGTTCTGGCTCGGGCACGTCTTCGGCCTCAGGCAGAGCCGCTTCGACAACTCGAGGCACCTCGGGCGCAGGAGGCTCTTCCACCACTCCTTTCTCTTTTCTCTCCTTCCTCTTTTTCTCCTTCTTTCTCTCCCTCTTGGACAAGTAAGTCGGCTCTGGCTCGGGCTCGGGTTCGGGTTCGGGTGCAACCTCTCGTTTTGTTTCCAGCTCGACGGTTGGTTCTGCCTCAGGTTCAACGGTCGTTGGCTCGAGGGGAACTAGAGCTTCTTCAATTGGTTCCTCTTCGTGTCTCCGCTCTTTCTTCTTTTTTCTCTCTTTCTTTGAGGATCGAGGAGCAGGAGCAGGAGCAGGAGGAGGAAATTCACCTTCGCGTGGAGAGGGTTCGCCAACGTCAAATTGGGGTGTTTGTACCATTGGTGTGGGTGGGACGAGATACGATTCGATGGGAAGCATTTCAGGCGCTGGCGTTTCAGGTGCAATTTCAGGTTCTGCGAGAGGCGACGTTAGCAACCAGCCCAATACCCAAGACACGTCACAAGAGACCAACCTTCAAATTGCGGAATTTCAACTGTCAATTCCGGAGCAGATGGAGGAGCTTGTGTAGCTTCTGGAGTGACTTCTGGAATAGCTTCTTCCTGGGTTTTCTCTCCCAGAGGCATGTTCCTCGCACCCTTCTGTCGCTTTCCAACTTCTTTGTTCATCTTCAACAACTCCCTGAAACCGACCACTCTGATGGGACTACCATTGGCATCGACCTCAATAGAAGACCTTCGAACACGCTGTTCCCCATCTTCAAGCTCAGCATCGCGATCTACATCGCTCTCGCTTTCTATCACACAAGGGTTGGAATTAATGCTGACCTCAACATCTGGAGCCTTCTTTTTCGCCGTCTTTGGCGCTCCAAGAAATGTACCCCAGACCGAAACATCTTTCTTTGGTTTCTTTTCCCTTCCTTTAGGTGCGGGGGCAAGGGCCAGGGTGGGTTCTTCCTCGGGGGTGGGGGCCGGAGCCATTTCCGGTTCTGCTCCCATAACCTCCGTAGCAGCACCCGCAATCTGAACACCTCCATATTCTTCAATAGGTGATTTGAGGGACCCCTCCACCGGTGCCTCTTCGACTACCTCTAGCGCTAGTTCGGCCGCCGCCGGTTCCGCGGGAGCTGGAGTCTCTACGGAAGCTGAAGATGGTGCGGGCGCGAGCGCCGGAGCGGGTGCAGACGCAGCCTCTCTAGTTTTCCTGGGCTTTGCAAAATTCCAAGCCAATGGGTTAGCGTACTCAAACATCTTTGGTTGAGCGTATTTGGGTCCCTCTGGTACAGGTGCATAGGAGGCCTCGTTGGGCGTTGGAACATATTTTATGCTTGAAGCATCGGCATACTGAATGTGTGAAAGTTTTCCATAACCCGGACCGTAGGTTCCCTCTTCTTCCAGTGTTGTAGGCTCAGGGAATGGATCCTCCTTTTTGGGTTCCTCTGGTTCCGGAGCTACCTCGACGACTTCTGGCTCCGGCTCCATAACCACTTCCTTTACAGTCACATCTGGGATAGATTCCATCGCTGGTTCCGGCTCGACCTTAGGCTCGACCTCGGTTTCTAACTTTGTCCCTGATTTCTCCATAACCCCTTTACCCTTTTTCTTCAGAGGTGAAGTAGCGGCCGCCTTCGCTTCGAATACCGCTGCCCTTGCCGCAACTTTTGAACCCTTCACCCCTCTAACTCTCTTTTCGCCTTGCTGTTCCAGTTCCAGTTCTTTCTCCCTCTCAGCCCTTAGTTTATCCTTCTCAAGCCTCTTTGCTTCCCTTGCCTCTTGCTCTCTGTCCTTGTCCTTCTTGTTTCCCCTAATAGGGGATATGGCCTCTTTTTCCTCCTTCTTTGGCTCGTGGACGGGGGCTATTTCTGTTTCCCGTCCAGGCACTGGCGCTAGCCGGGGTTCTTTCTCTGGCTCTGAAGCTGCAATAGTCTCAGCGGCTTCCCTAATCCTTAGGTGGGGCTCTTGGGCAGCTGGTTTCCCCCTTTTAGCCCTTTTTGTTTCCGCTTCTTCTTTGAGGGCTGTTGCTGGCGCTTGGGCCGGTGGCTCTTGAACTACGGACGACTTGGACACAGTTTGAGATCCAGGACCGTTATCCGGGTTCGAGGCGGGGGTATTTGCAGCACCCCAAGGCGAAGAAAAGAGCCTCCTACCCCATCCCACACCAAGGGAAGAAAGTGCCGGAACCCTTACGGTTTCCGGTTGAGATATGACGTCTGGTTCTTTTTCAGAGTCAACATCATCCTTGGGCTCCTCCGTAACTCTTCTTTTGTGCTCCCCTATAGGCTCTCGTGGAGGAGGGGCTGGCGCTAGCGTTGGTGCCTCTTTAGGCTGTGCCTCTGGAACCGCATCTCTCTGTAGATTCTATTAGCCATTCTGGCTTCCGTTGAAACGTGATTGGCTATTTTCACAAAAATTATTGTACACGTATGATGCATCAATCAGCCTACTCGCACCTCAGTTGAGGCTTTTATATCGCATGCACCACGCAAATGCAGGGTGCCGGAGTATACTGAATCCCAAGCGGCCAAATAATAATGACAGTTAAGAGAATTATCATTGTAAACATACCTTGCTTATGGACTTCTTTGGTTCATTATCCTCGCGTGCCTTCTTCTGCCTCTCCCTCTCCTTCCTTCTCATTTCTTTCGTTTCTCTCGGACTCAATTTCTGCTCGGACTCGGGCTCCTGAGCCCCCATCAGTGGATCGGGCCCAAATGGAGGGTTTTGGTCGGTAGAGTCTCCAAATCCTCCAGGCACTCCATCGTTACCAGGTACGGCCTCTATTACAACTTCTTCAGGCGATGGTACTTCTTGCTTCTAAATACGCCGGATAGAGTAAGTAACTCTTGTTGGTTGGATGCTATAAGTGGGGGAGCGATAAACATTGCACTACCTTTCCTTTCCTTGACTTCCCCGTGGTATGGACCTCAAACCCAGCCTCATCGTTGTCGTCCCTGCCCCGGGCCTCTCTCTCCCGTGCGACTTCATCGGCTTTCCTTTGTTCCTCTCGCTTGGCTTCTGCTTCCCCCTCTTCCTTCCTTTTTTTCTCCTCCTCCTCTTTTTCTTTCAATTTCCTCGCTTCCTCATCTTTCTTTTTGTCGTCTTCGCCGTCTTTGTCGCCTCCACCACCTGACCCACCAGCTCCACCGCCATTAGGGTTGGCATCACCGCTCTCACCATCGTTCGGCGCCTCTGCTGGTGTCTTACCGGAGCCTTTTCTCGCGGCCCCTGCTCCTCCCGGTGCTTTGTTGCCGCGGCCAGCCTTTTTCTTCCCAGCTCTGTCTGTGATCCCAAAAAATTTCCCGGAAAAGAAGGATGGTGGAGGTTCAACACCCATCTTCTTCAGAGGAGGATGTACACAGCTGGTAGCGAGTGATTCCTCTTCGATCTCTCGATAAGGTGGTGGGGGCTCGTCGTCGTCCGCGTACGCAGGTAAGATCCAGTTTAACAGGTCTAGCGGCTGGTGTTGATCGGAATCCTACAGGTTATGTTAGCTCGTGCCCCCCTTTTATCCCTATTTTTATTTTTATTCCACCGGCTATGAGGGATTCCGACAGTTATTTAGACTATCATGAACCGAACGACACGCTTTGCACTTCTTAGGCGGTAGCGACGATGGCAGTGGGAAGAGTGAAATACATTAAACTATTTGTCTCTTCGGGGAGGAGAAAAGGGAATTATTGGTTTTTGGGGAGAGTTAGGTTGCAAAGAGCTGAACCGGGCGATCAAGTGACCGGCCAAGCACTGGGAGACAGAACCAAGGTAATGCCAGACAGGAAGGACACAAAAGATAAACAGAGCGGAATGGGTGGGGTGAGAGTGTGTGTGAGAGAACGAGAGGGAGGGGGGGCCAAGTGTGTTCAGACTTGAGGGGTAGGAATTTTACGTGCCTGATCAAGTGTATTGTGGGATAAGAGATATCGCCGCTGCTCCGCCTGCTCCTCCTCTTGTCGCTTCCCAACAGAAAATAGGGGTCCACTCTGTTTACTCGGTAATGGCGCCGTGATCATACTACGTAGAAGCTAGAATTCAAAGCACGCCCTGGTCAACAAAAATGCGCCCCCATTAATTCCTCCTTGCAACATCCCCTTCAACCATCCCCTGACCGGTTCCACCAATTCCTTCCATTCGTAAAAAAAAAAAAATTGACATACCTCAACCATCTCCAACACTCTCTCCAATTCATACCATCCCTTCTCCCCTCCAAATTCACTATTACGCCATAAGGGCGCTTTCCCATCCACCAATTCCTCCGAGCCATATCTCCACGTTTGGCTACAAGAGGGCGAACGCTCACCTCTATTCGCCATTGGTACGCCAGTTATCGTCGTCATCGCTGTTTAACTGTGGGGGGAACGGCCGCAATTAAGTTGAATAGAGAGTAGTAAAGGAAAGAAAGAAAGCCCCGCAAAAAAGACCGCCCTTTACTGAAAATGAATAATTCAAGAAAAAAGAGTGGTCGATCGCGTGAGCCGACTCGATATCCGAGGGATGCGCGCGCAGAGGTTATTTGGAATGGGGGAGTAACGCAATTCTAGTTCGGCCGCACTGACGATAGGGATTGTCCGCGCTGTTGCTAGAGTGAACTACCGGTAGTATATGGGACGTGGACGGACGAGAGTAGTGTGCGGTTGCTCAATCTCCAGGACTCTTCTCGTCTTCTCCCTCTTTTCCTTCTCCAATGTCAGGGAGGGTGAAGAAACCGCCTTCTTTTTCAGATCTCAAAGAAAAAGCATTCGGCGGAGAGACAAAGCAAGGCAAGGCAAGGCAAGGCGGAGAATAATACTCGTTCGTACTGGTGAGTTGTTCGCGTATGATGTGCCAGGTGTGAAGGGATGGAGTGAATGGATGAAGGAGGAAGGGGAGGAGTAGGGCAAATGGAATGGACTGGTGATGTTCTTTTGCTAGCTAGCAATACGGTAGCAAAGCATAGCCTGCATACAATATACAGCTCAAGCTTCCTCTTCTTCTGTCTCTTCCCTTCGTTTGAACAGCTGTTTCTCTCAAAACGCTGGCAACTTCCACGCACGAAACGAGGATGAGAGGGGGAGAAAAAAAACAATTTAGGAAAAAACCATTTGGTGTACCTGTGCGAGGGGGCGGGTTTATGGTGGATAGATGCTATGGTAAGATGGAAGGGTGCGTCGTGCACGGGGAGCAGGACTCGTTCGTGCGGGTGCGGTTTCTTGTGACCCTTTCTTTCACTTGCTTTCTCTTTGCTTGCTGGGCTACTGGCATCCCTGCGCGTTTGGCGGTGGGAGCGCGATGTGCATTGCATTCTACAGTTGCAGTTTACTCGAGTACCTTCCGTTCCTTCCTTCCTTCCAGCGCAAGTAGATGAGGTATGGGCAGCTAGGGAGATACAATATCAAGCAATGAGGTGGTGGTGGCCGATAGTTCTTTTTTGATTGGAGGCTTTTTTGGGCATACAGGACAATGCGCGGGTTCACGAATCAGTGGTGCAGCTCGGCTGTGGTTTGGATACACAGCACGAGCACGGTACGATACGGTAGCTCTTTCTGTCTCCGGGTTTTGTGCGCTGCACTACCAAGGCTTCCAATGCACTCGTCTCGTCATTGAAAGCGTTGTTCGGGAGATGCCCCACGAGTACTCGTACAGTACAGTTGGTGCTTGAGGTCGAGTTAAGGAATAAGCAACTAAAAGTCGAGAAGAAGCAAAGAAGGAGCTCAAGAAAGAATTGGAAAGCGTATCTCGGGTGGTTACTGTGATATATAGGAATCAAAAAGAAGACCACGGTATGTACCAAATAGCACCCTACTCGAAGCAAAGCAAAAGCATGAAATGTGACGCACGCAAGGGGAACCCTTCTTTGCTCGAGCACTCTCAAAACCACCGAAACTCCCCCCATCCAATAGAACACTTTGCTGCAGCATCGAGTTTCCACATGGAGATTATTCCATTCTGCAATGACCCGAACGAAGGCTTTTTATCCTTTTCTACCTTCGAAGGGCTTTTGACACAGTCTACTGTATGGAGCAAAAAAAAAAACTCTTCCCCTTGCCAACGTGTTCGAGATACTCGAGTAAGTTTGTCACGCTTCATGTGATGTGATATATACCGGTAGGAGGATGGATGGTTGAGGAAACTGATTTGGACCCTCCCATCTTTCTGGGGAATTTTGCCGTGCCTGGGTGAATTCCTGGAGTTTGGAATATCGCACCGGTTGACTTTTTCTTCCCCCTTCCTCTTCTTAACCCGAACCCTTGACTGTGCATAGGCCGAGGGTGTCGAGGGAGGGAAGGGAAAGAAGGTTTGGCTGTCGTTGCCCTCATCGCAAACCCACGACCGGGGGGGGGGGTGCACCACACCGGTACCGGTGTCAAATTGAACAGAGCAAGCAAGTGAGTGGGGGGGAGCAAAGCTCCCTCCTCCCCAAGCACAACTCGACTCGGCTCAAACTCAGCTCCACTTTTTTCACTTTCAATAATCCACAATTTCCAACACGTCTATCAATCCATCCTCCGAAAAACCCAGAATACGATAAGTCTACCGGTAACTGTATGAGCACTTCCAACTTGTGATAACATCCATTCTCCTCGGTCGGTCTTCAAGCCCGAGTTACAGTTTTAGCGCGTTCCCATCCCGACCAAAATGATCACAAGAACAATAAATAAATAAATGAGATATACCGTTTTTCAAAAAGGGATCTTAAATTTACCCCCAACACAACACGCCGCCATCATCATCCGCGAGTAGGGTACGCTATGTATTAGATAAATTCCCAAGTCAAAGAGTTATCCATCTGTTATTCCACCATGGCCGCTATCAAACACCGGTACTCGTACTCGTACAGGTTATATCAGGACCACATGAAACCCATCCATCCGCCTCAGTATTAGACTATCACAAGTCGTTCGTAACGTAACGTAACCCCGGCCACTCTCCGACTGCGGGGTAAATGAAGCGAAGCGAAGGTCCACCGTTTTCTGTAACAAATTATTGGCACGATTATTGAATTTCGATTTACTTATGGGGGTGTAAATACCGGTACATTTTCCCTCCCTTTCTAAAACCTAAGACTCAGACTCAGGCTGAGAATTTCGAGATGTGGTTTTTCTTTTTTCTCTATTTTTTTATTTTTTTTATTTGCAGCATAGAACAGGGGTGTTTGGGAGGGGGGGTGACACATGCATTGAATTACGTACTGTAGGGCGCCCGAAGGGACAGGAAGAGCTCTCTCTCCATCATCCATGTGAGTTGTCGTATGAGAGAGAGAGAGCTAGGGCCCTCCCGGCCCATTCCTTCTCTTTTACCCTTTCTTTCCTTTCCTGTGTGGAGAACGAGGATAGTCTACGGTACCGGTAAGTTGGCCCTTTGATAGATATGGGGGATGGGTGGATTGGCAGCTGGAGGACCCTAACTCGAGTGAATTAGTTAGCGCCGCCGGCTCCCCACACTATCGCCCTGGACTGGTTGGAGAAAAAATAGGGCCCTTGAAGCTCTTCCCTAGGGTATTGGCCTTGTTCCAGTATTGCGGCGTTCTTCTTACTGCTGTTGGGGGAAACATGGTTTTCCTTCCACCCGGCAGTTTTTTCTTGTGGAAGGCGAAAGCGAAGAAGTGTTGGGCTCTGGCGTGCCGATATCCCTTTTTACTCGTACAGCATAGTACGGTATTCACGTACCGGTACAGTACTCAGTACAGGAACGGGGAGAAAGAATATTTCTCCGGCCTATGTATGGCACTCACGGTGGTGTGGTTATCATATATAGCACCGCGGTTTATGCACATAGTAGACTACCGTACTGGGACTGCCCGCAAGGCTCTGGCTGTTTCGCTTTCTGTCTCCTCCTTCTCTCTCTCTCCCTCTTCCCTTGTATGACTTTTTTTCCCCTAGTCCGGTCTGGTTTGCCGGTCTTTGTCTAATTTGGACGAGGAGCGTCTGGCTGCAGAGTGCTGGACATCTACCGGTACCAGCACTCTACTCGAGTCCTCGAGCACGGTACTCTAAGGTTGCAAGCGCAAGCAAGCAAGTGCAGGGTACCGTAATTTGATCTGGATTAAGCTGAATTTGAATGCCCATCACCACCCCATCTCTTCCTCCAAATAAATTATCATACCGGTAGTGTGGGGGGGGAGGAATGAGGGTTGCACTAATTAATTAACGACAGTAATTTAGGACTACAGCACAGAATACTCGACTAGTGCAGCGACCTCTTCTCTCTGCTCTTCCCCTTCCTCTTCTCTTTTGCAAATCGTGGGACCGCATCTGGCTTTCTCCACTGGCAACTCATCCTCCCCGTCATCTACCGGTATCGTACCGGTACAGTACCATCCGGTAGCAGGCAAACAACAAACTGAGCGGAAACCCAAAACAAACAAACAAATCAACAAACAATAATAAAACCCTAGCCCTCAGTACCGGTTATCGTATCTATCATACCGGTATACGTACGTATCATACTTGATAACATCACAAACCACACGTCCAATCGTACGTGCCGGAACCGGCATTGTGTCTCCGGAACACTTGCTGCGCCCACCACTACTCGAGTACTCGGGCACCATAGCCACCACCACATCCACGGTCTAGGTTAAAAGGGCGAAACCAACCAACCTACAGTACGGCACCTCCGAACCCAAATCTTGGCATCAACGATAAATGTGGGGTAAGCTCAAAAAGTGAACCAAAGTGAAGTAAAATCTGGGGCACACTATCGGTATGATACGATAACTGTACGATACCCATCACTTGTCATCTGAAAGATGAGGTATTAAGAGGGAGGGGGCGATTGCATGCGCCGCCGCCGCAGAAGCGGATATCCATCCGTGGAAAGGCCAGTCGGATAGACAGAAAGAACGAGAGGGGCGATGGGGTAGGAGGGGAGAAGAGGGGGAAAGAAGAGGGAGTGAGGGTTTCAAAGTGGAACGTGATGAACGGACAAACGAAAGAAGGAGGAGAGGAGAGGGGTATCACCAACCAGGAGACGATACGATACGACTGTTCTATTCACGACCGACCAATTGACCGACCGACTAAAAGCGTGGGTGGGGCTTATAAATAAACGAATAAATAGAATATCATGGCTGAAAATTAAATGACGCTCGCTAGTTTTTCATGGCTTGCGGTATGGATCTTGAGCCAGCCTTCCTCCTCTCCACGGACAGTTTCTGAAATGCCCCACAGACGAACGATACTCCGCATCTCAAGATAATGAGGATGATGGCGCGATATCAGGTTACTCCTGTGGGGGTGGGGAAACGGGTTCGAAACCTCATTCCGTAAAACCGCTCGCTCGCTCCTCGAGCAACCATTATCGCAAGACCTAGCCTAGATCTTTGATCGCTTAACTCTGCCAGACAAATCCCGCGATTTGTTTTCCTGTTTCTTCTGTTTTTAGTTTCCCGATGTCTGGTGTTCGCTATTCGAGTGATTCTATATGACCACGCGACCAAAATGAGGCGAGCGGAATTTGATCTCCTCATTTTTGCTGCTGTGTTCAGGGTCCATAAATCGCTAACTGTGGAGCACCGAGAATGGGACTTCCGAAACGCTTTTCGGTGTGTGAGTGTGTGGGTGTGGGTGTTAATCTGCGATATGATGCGCTGGGGCGGCACCTGCAGGTTATCGTGACCAGGTCTTGGTATGATGTGGGTGTGCAGTTTTTTCGTTGCTGTGTGTATATGTGTACTGTACAGTACTCGTATGTGGGTGGGTGGGTGTGATGGGAGGAAAGATTTTGGGGGGTGTTTGGTGGTGGTGGGCCTGCGGAGGTGTTTGTGCTTTGTTAACCGGGAACTATGATAGCTACCGTATGGGTGATGGATAAGACGATAACTTGGTGGTGGTGAGTGAGGTTCGGTGTCGGTAATCTCTGGTGATAACTTGTAGCTCATGTTTTGGAGCTCTTGTTGAATGAATGCCATTTCGGAAGTGAATTGGAGTTACTGTAATCAGCTCGAGTGGCCTACACAGCACAGCTGCAAATTGCCAATCCCCAGTGGTTTTATAACTATCAATGTCTCGCTGAACACCATAACTCTCCCAGCTACCCGAGCGGATGCAGTATGATACACTGTAAAGGTTTCAAACCATCCACCGCTACCCGCAATCCATCCAGTGCAAGTAACGTAATGCGTGGTGCGCTTGCGTTGTCATTCGAACCGCCACCGGCCGGTTTCGATCTGTAAAAATCACTGTAACCGTTACCATACTGTATTGTACTGTATACTCTACCCGGTAGGAAAAAGGTACGGATAACTTTTAACGATGGGAATAACGCTACGGGTAATCCGCTTTTTTGCTGAATGATATGCACAAGTTGCGCTTATCTGGGTTGTTTCACAGTAGTTAGTCAAAAGGTATTATGAGGGGTTGGAGAGAGAGATAGTGGTGATTTATCTGCTCAGGTTTTTTGTCCAGGGAGGTTTCTAAACGATAATTGTTATCATATTATCATGGTAATTCTTGTGGCAGTTGGGATACCGGTATATATATGTGCGCTTTTTGTGGGGTTTATGATATCAACATGTCGATGAGCTCTTTTTCGGTGTTTTAATCTGGGTTAGCTTTTCTTTTGGCGGCCCGCATCCAAATCTTGCCCTCTCGCCGCGATATTCTACGAGATGCTACAGTATCATGAGCCTGGGCTTGTAATTTGTTACCCAGGTCTTTCCTTCCTTCCGGGGGTTAATAGGTCTTCGGAGACACGGGTATTATCCGATGGATACCGTAAACTCAAGAATGGATGCCACGCCGTATCCCATCGTCATCACAAACTCCGATCCGTGGTGGGGGAATGCGTGTTGTGAACAATTGGTGGGAATCTATAGGGACACACACGTACGCAGGTCGAGTTTGTCGGAGTTAGTTAGGAGTTCATCATCTGTTGGGAGTGGGAATAATTCTCAGTCTCCATTTCCCCGAGTTGAAATTATTCCCGGGCGCCACGTGGGGTGGTGGATTCTAGGGTCATTGTGGATCACTCGCTACGTGGTGTTGGGTTGTTGGTGCGACTTATGGCCCCTGGTGCCCGGTTATCTGTTGTTTGCTTCTCGGATTTATTGGGTGTTTGTGCTGGAGCAGGCAAATATCTCAGCGGTCTGAATTGTTTCTCGATAAAAGTTGCGGGCTGTGCATGGGAGGCATACCACCCTCGTGGGGAAAGAACAAGAGAAAGCGGTGATATGCCACGATAGGTGAACGCGGCGGTGTGTGTTGGCTTGGTGTTCTGCGTCTTTTCAAACCTTCTCTCGTGGAGGAATAGAGGCCTATGTCGGGTATTTTGTGTTTCCCTATTATGTTCTCTGGGAAGGCATCCACTTCGGGCGCAGGTCATCGTGGTGCTGGGACTCTGTCTTGACATCTACAGTGGGCCCAGGACTTGACTGCTTTGTTGTTTTATTGACTGGTTACTCCATTGAACCTGGTTGGGAATTAGTCGCTAAACAAGTAACTTTTCTTAGAAAAGGAGAGAAGGGCGACGAGAGTATTTGTTAGGTGAATGATACCGCAGTTCATCTCCCAACTCACCAAGCGAAATGTTAGTCCATCGGGATGTGAGTGAATCATTGTGCTTTGCTTTTGCACTACCCTACCGGTACTACCGGTAGTACAAGCACTATACAATAACTTGATGTGACACACAGCTACAGTACTGTACTGTACTTGAACTGAATCCTAGGATCAAGAAGCTTGTCAATGACTCAACAAATGAACTAGTTAGCGGTGACTGGTATAACTCATGTACCGTACTTGTACTGGGTACTTCGAAATCACTCACCCCCGATGGACTCATGGTGCGGGGGCTAGTTGGCTGATTTTACAATAAGAAGATCCGAGAGGTCTCTTCAAGCCGTCAGTTTTCACAACGATAACAAACACAACTGGCCCACTGGTATCTGCTCGGCTACCGGCTGAAATTCATCTTTGTGACTTCCACCTGCGCTATTGCGGCGATACCTATCCTTGAGAACAATAGGGAAGGCGCAGTGCGGTTACCGGTGCACCGGTATTTGTACCTTCAACTTGTCGCTAGACTATTACTCGTAGGTACTGGTATCTTAATGGGTTCCGAAGGAGGTTAGTCTCTCTAGCTTCAGGTTTTAGGGGAATCATAAACCTAACCCTGGACTCTAAAAGTGTCCATCATGACGACAACTACCGGTGCTAGCGGAACCCCTTCATCTCGAGAACAATCACTTTCCTCTTACCAGACTGCGATTGCTATTATCCCTCCGGTTTTCTACCACCCGCAGACCAACGCCCTCCGTTCACTATACGATAAGTCCTACTTGAGATGGCCTCCGCACATCAACGTGCTCTACCCCTTCGTTACGCCTGAGAGCCTCCCGTTAGCTGTTCAAAATCTCCGAAGGGTGGTTCAGGAGAGCAAGGATGATGGGTTTGGGTTTTGGTTAAAGTTGGATCGGCCAGGGAGCTTCCGACATAAGCAGAATGCCACAATATTCCTCTCGCCGGGTCCGCATGATGGTGGGATGGTTGGGGACCCAGAGACAGCATCTGGGAGAGCCCTGAGACGGCTTGAGGGATTGCTATCTAGCCAATACACAAAAAAAGGAAGGACGGGTGATGGTGTTTATAGACCGCATCTTACTTTGGGGCAGACTTCCTTAGACCCAATGCCCCTGAATTCTTTGCTGTCTAAGGCTGAGAAACTGGTGACGGCGAACAGAATTTCAATTGAGCCGTTTAAATGGTTTGTGACAAGGCTAGCGGTGATGAAAAGAGATGAGGAGGGAAATATGAGGATTGTTGATGAAATCCTTCTGGGAAAACGGGGCACCGAGGAGGCGGAGAATGGAGAAGGGGAGGCGGATACGGAGTCCGAGATTGACAGAGTATCTGGAGAGAGTCTGGACGAACTCCAGAGGTTAGGTCTTGGCCCAAGAGAGAGCTTCGGATATTTCAGGCCAGGTGCCTCCTGTCAGTTTTCTACGGAAATTAATGATTGGGTTCCGGTCGACCTCGCAAGTGTTCAAGGGCGAAGGTTCCTCCCGAAGGATATCACAATTGCTACCTACAATGTCTTGACGGATTCTCTATTCCCACCCCCAGTTGAAAGATACCCGCTGCTGATAGATGCGATTCTTTCGATCCATCCTACTCCACCGAGTTTAGCGACACCTTCAATACTTTGTCTCCAAGAAGTAACCGATGGTTTTCTCCAACATCTTCTCTCCAATAATGCTATTCGGACCCGATACCCTCTATGCACACATTCTTCAAACTCGGTTCTCCCTAGTATCAGGAATTGTGTTATATTTGCTACACTTTCGTGTGGACCGTTCGAATGGCAATGGCTTGACTTCACCAAACGCCATAAGGGTGCGGTTATTGCATCATTTCCGAAACTGGGGAGTCCAGATAAACCACTTGTTGTGGCGACTGTCCATCTTACTTGTGGTCTTGGTGATGGGAGTGTTTCAGCAAAGGCTATTCAGTTGAAAACACTCTCAGCATATCTACGCACTAAACACTCCGCTAGTGATTGGATTGTAGCGGGAGACTTCAACCTCCAGACCTCAATACAAAGCATTGATTCGGCGTTGGCGAGTGGAAGTATCTCAAAAGATACTCACGAATTGGTCCGGAAAGGGCTAATTGACGAGGAGCTCTTCTCTGACTCTTGGGAAATATTTTTTGGCTCAAACGAGGAAGATTTTGTCCCTTATGAGGCGGATAATACCGTTGCAGAGATCAAGGGGGAGGGGGAGTGGGGAGCCACGTTCAATCCATTCACGAACCCGGTTGCAGCGAAGATCGTGCGATGGAACAGTGATCCTCGCCCTCAGAGGTACGATCGGGTACTGATAAAGAGGACTGGAGATTTGAGGGTTAGGAGTGTATGCCGCTTTGGATTTCCAGAGATTAATTCCCAGGACAGTGAAAAAACACTGGAATGTGGCAGTGACCATTGGGGTGTTAGCGTTATGTTGAATTTCCGCCCGGATGTCGGAGATGCCGGCGGGCAGAGAAACGGTGCAAGGTTACAACTCTCGGAGATATATATCGATGATAAACTTCTGAAAGCCCTTGTTGACCCCTACATGCCTTGCAAGACTGATCGTGATGCTAGAGAGGCTGCTATAACGTCTCTAAGAGAGATTCTGCTACAAGAGCAGGAATCAGTACTTGGGGTTGGATTTAAACCTTCTCGTGGGGCTATCCCGATTATCTTGGCCCCCGTGGGTAGCTATGCTCTGGGTGTCCATGGTAGGGATTCTGACATAGATTGCCTCTGTGTTTCAACCATTTCTGCAAAGACCTTTTTTGAGGTTGCGAGAAAAAGGATTAGAAGGTTTGGCGGCGAACGAGGAATCCGCTTGACAAGATTTGTTGATTCCAAGGTCCCTGTCTTGGAGGTGAAGGTTGGGAATATAAAGTTTGATCTACAGTACTGTCAATCCCTGGCAATAATTGAGCAGTAAGTTACCATTCATAAATAGCCTGGAACCAGTGCTTACCAAGGGCAGTTGGTCGGCTATTCCACTTCTACCTCCGAATGACTCGGTATTCTCATTGCCTGCATCCGGGCTCAAATCTCTTAATTCCTATCGAGATACTGAATTTCTCCTTCGTACGATACCAAATATCAATGTCTTCCGTCTAGCACATCGCTTCATCAAAATATGGGCTCTTGCGAGTGGGGTATTTTCCTCACGATTCGGATATCTCGGTGGCTTTCACATAACTCTTCTGTTGGCACGCATATGCAAACTGGCTGATGGAGATCCAAAGGATGTTACTGCGGCAAAGATCGTTAGGTTATTCTTCGCTTATTACTCAAAAACCGAGTGGTTGACGGAGATTATTTGTGATCCGGAGTTCTCAGCTGGAGCTAGTTATCAGCGGTTTTCTCGGGAGCCAATGGCCGTTACTAGCATCTATGCGCCAGTGGTCAATGTTGCGAGAAATGCCACCAGACACAGTGTGTCCGCGCTAACACGGGAGTTTGAACTTGCGGAAAAGGCTCTTGATAGTGGGCGGTGGGACCTAAGATCGATGGGGAGAGAAAACGAGTTTTTAGCGGAATATGAAAGCTATGTAAAGATCGACGTTCAATATTGGGGAAACACCTTGAGGAGAGGAAAGGCGTTAACTCTATGGGTGGAAAGCACAATCCCCTTGCTTCTAGTTGGTCCGTATAGGGTTTTCTTTAGAGAGATAAATACTAAGAGCAGCAGGGTTAAATACCAAAGCACCTTTTATATTCGCACGGGTTTGGCCACAGAGGTTCGTTAGCACCACCGAGCTCGATGAATGGACTGAACTGCGAGGGTTTTACCTAGTAGGACTGTCCAACAATGGCACTAGAGAAGGGAGGTCGAAAGAGCAAAAGCAAAAGGATGAGAATACGTTCATGGAAATTCTACAGGGATTTGAGCAGCACCTCAAAGAGCGTTCAACATGTGCGCTTGAATACGATTCCACAGACTCATGGATTCAAGTCCAGTATGTTCGAAGGTCCTCTCTGGGAGCTGTCAAAATAGATGAGCGAGATTGGGGCGATAACGGTCCTGAGGACGATCTCATACAGAATGAAGATAACCTTACTGATACCGAACTGGGCTCGGATGATGAAGGATACGTGCGCAATGACGATCAGAATTGTCCGGGCGTCAAAGAGACATCGTTGTCAAAAACCAGGAAACCGCCCAAAAGGCCTGTACCTGGCAGAAAACTCCGACCGGCACTCGACGTGATCAATCGGATCAGGTGGGATCCATCTTTGGACCCGGACGATTTTCTGATAGGATATGAAGACAGGTTTAAAGGAATCAGAGAGATGGATGTTGGGAAGTGGAAGATGGAGCAGACGGACCTAGAATTTATTCCGCTACATCGGGTTGCGTACTTTAAGAGGCGAAGTGATGGGGTAGTGGTTTGGGATCGGGAAACGAAGAACGACCTTTTGTTTGGAAATAAGGTCGGGGAGAGCGGGGAATGAATATTCGGGAATATGTACCATATATTTTTAAGCTTGAAGCGGGGATATGCGTTTGATTATAATTCATGTGTCATCACTCGGCATGTGCTTACAGTTTGGTTAGAATACAATGGAGTTGGGACATTCAATCTTATAGATGCCATTGTGGCTCGGACATCGCTGTAGTCCCAATTGTAATGGCAAACAACGACCATTAAATCGAGCAATAAACCAAATTAATACCCCTTTGCAATCCCCGAACTTTACCAAATCTCCAAACTTCCAAACTTCCGGACCAACCGAAACAAGAAAGCTCAGGCTCTGATACAGAAGCGCATTCTGCCTCTCGGTTTATCAAAGTAAAACGCACAAAGGCCGACATGTCACCGGCACCCCCCCCTGAATCATCCTTCGACGCTTCCCCCTTCGCCCCACACTCACCACCCTCGCCGCCCTCACTACAATCACAAGTGACACAGACAGACCACAAAGCGGACACAGCAGCCACCATCATCGCCGTACTCTCTCTCTGCGCAATATTCCTCGCCCTGACATTCCTCGTTGGCTACGGCGTGTACCTTTTTGGTGCGGGATTTCTCTTGGGCAAGCGAGTTCCTAGGAAGCGCGGCGGGGTCACTGAAAAAACTGGTTTGTCATCCTTATTTCCTGCTTTGCTCTGGTACTCTTCGCTGACGCGTGGTGGAGGGGGAGCTGTAGGGGGGATCAGCGCTGGGGTTTCGGGGATTAAGGGTGATGCTCACAGGGACGAGGGTGGAAGCAAGGAGAAGAAGGAGAGGAAGGGCGAAGGGCGAAGTGGGGGATTGGATACCGTGATTGAGGTTCCTGAGGGGGAGGGGCAGGGGGGTTCGGGGAGGAATAGGGTGGAGGGGGAGGATGTGGATGTGGAAATGGGGAGGCGGTGGTAGGAAGTGGTTGGTTGGGTTTCTTTCTTTCTTATGAATTCGATCGCAGAGGTTTGTATTATAGAGACTTTGGGGGGGTATTTGGCACACTGGCGTTTGTATGATGATATCATAAGGTTGGCAGTAGTGTCTGGTGGTGCATGCTTTGCAAACCGCGGTTTGAAAACGCACTATTGTGGGGTCTAAGAAATTATTGGACTTCTCTTACTATGATAATATTATGTTATGATACATAATTTCCCCTCTCTCTCTCTCTCTCTCTCTCTTTTTTTTTTTTTAGGGTTCGCTTAAAAATCCAATTTTTTTTTCCTTTTATAATAATAATATTATTATGGTACAGTACTGTACCCTGTAAAAAAAGGTTCCTGAAAGTGTTTGGCAACACACCTTACAAAACAGTATCAGAGTCTGGGGAATCTTATAAACACTAGCTGTGCCCCCCCACCACAGTTAAAGGGGTAAAGTTGCGAAAAAAAAGTTGTAGTATTTCTTTGTGGAGGTCGCCCGGGAAATCTGTACCTATAGTTGCGGGAGGTGAGGTATGTGGTAGTAGTGAGGTGGAAATATTCGGGCGGGGTTTTGCAAGCTTAACAGTACTCGGCCGGGGTCGGTCGGTACTGTACAGTACAGTAAAAAAATGGGTCTCCGATTTTTACGCCACACCAGAGCAGTTGGTGACAGACAGCCCCCGAAGTTGCGACGCAATGGAGCGTGCTCGAGGGGGGGGACGACGATTGACTCCCCGATTCATATGCCGAACTGTCTGCGGGCAAATTGTGTGTGTGTGACTGGACGTATATAAAACGCGCGACTGGTAAACAGGATACGGAGGGGAAGAGAGGGCGCAGCCGGTCTCTATTTAGAAACGTCAATGATAGGATCTATATATAATACCTAATATATAGGTGTTGATAATGAGCAAAGGGATTTGGCCGGGTGGATTTTATCCCTCCGCGGTCTTGAGTTATCACCATCTCGGGTTTTCATGTGGCGACTTTATAAAAAGATCGACTTCATGGCTAAATTTTGCGATAGATGCGCTTGCCGGAGTAGGGAATCATTCGGGAGTGAGGTGGATAGGTATTGAGACCCGCTGATATTTTATGGTGCCCGTGTCGCTGGAGAGGAACTGAGTGGGTAGGGGGGGGGGAGGGGAATATATTGGGTGGACTTTGGCTTTTAACGTTAACGATAGGTGTACCCTGGCTGCGTAAGAGGTGGGTACTTTGTTTTAAACAACAAAGGATTACGGCAGCGATTTGGACAATGTTGACTTAAGCAGGGCAAAGATGTAAAGATAAATTTCAATATCCGAACTGGAGAAGTATTCTCGCAAAGAACAACAATAGGTAATAAGAAACGGGAAAGACTGATATGACCCAAATGCGAGTAACGGAGGAAAGAGAGACAGATTGGATAACGAACGAAAACAACTATCAAGGAAAAACAAGCTGCCTTTTATTCTTCCCTAGATCATACTAATCTGCTTCCACATACTTCCAGCGTATGCCGTGTTCTCCATCACGTTCAGTCTCACTATCGCCCATTTGTGCCGCTTCGGCCGAGGGTATGTTCTGACCAAGGATAGTCGGTATTTCCATATGATAGGGGTAGCCTCCTAACATGGAGTCGTCGCAGGTATCGTCGCAGATGTTGTCACATATGGCGTTTGATGTGTAGGACTAACCAGTAGTCAAACATAGAGGCGTCGGAGTAGTTGATACCAAGAGGGTTAGGGTTGTGAAGTCGTTGCCATAGGGGAAACATGCGGTGAGCAGCCAAGAAACACTTCCGTCCAACACTTTGGAGGCTCTGATCGGTTTTTTTCTTCTGCTCCAAGGACTTGGGACGAGTGTGTACGTTATCTGCTGATGTGGATTAGTTTACTCGGTATTGTAACTGTGTGTATTCTACGGGCGGACCGCCGGACCGAGGTAGCGTTCTTAAGGGGTTGGTATATAGCTACAAGGTTATTTGTAGTTATAGAGCGACGCCCGGATATGTATGTCGGAGAGGTCTTGGATTGATCAAGTGTGAGGGGGGTAGCATATACAGCAGTATGGTAGAGTGGGGGAACACCACTGCCCGGTCGCTCCAGAATCAAAGCCGCGGGAAGAAATCTGGAAGGCCGACAGTGTAAATACACAGGCTCTTCATGTCATGTCAAACAGGCACAGTAGTGAATCCTTCTTATCCGGGACAGCTTCGGGCTATAGAACCATAGAATGCGTATCATAGATTTTTTCATGCGGGGGAAACAGTGGGGGTCGGCTTTTGGGATGTAGACCTCCAACCAGGAAGTTTTGGAGGACTCACAGAAGTAGAGAGAGAGTTAATGGCCCTGGAGTAAACTCAAGGTGTGATGCAGCTGATCTATCAAGCCAGTCTTCTTGTTGGGTCTTTCATTTTCTCACATGATGATTCTCGGACTCTCTACCCTTTTCCCCGGATATTCATCGACTGTTATTGCAAGTAACGATCGATCGTAAGCTTCTATGTGCTCTGAGACGCAATGCCGAATCGGGGACCTGGAAGGGCTTCGGTGCGCTACGGAAGGCAGCCTGAACCGGTACAAACAAGCTCGGTACGATATGATACTTCATCACAAGTTGTGCAGAATAAGATGGTCAAAGAAGCGAAATTACAGATCCCGGACATTTCTCGTTCCCCCACGATATTATCATCGTCACCCCCTCGCCCGATGGCCAGAAAGGCAACGACAAAAAAAGAGACAAGCAAATCTCAGGGGTAAAATCAAAAATTGGGCAGCCCAGGTGCCCAAGGACAGCTGGCGCGGTTCCCGCCTTCGATGTGCTATGAAGGCGAGAGAACTGCGAGAATCCACCATTTATGAGCGGAGGACTCTGCTGCAAGGTAAGTATGAGGAGAGAAGGTGAAGTTGGGGGGGGAGGAGGTATTTATACTACCCAATGGAAGGTGCCAAGACATGGTGAATTTGGCCGACATGAAATGATAGGGTTGGGGGCTTTAACTTTAGGGAAGGATGCCCCTGAGGTGGTAGGGCTGAGAACGAGGCCTCTGCGAAAGCCATCAGAGATACGGGAGGGTAGGTAGTCTGGTAGTGATTTGTTAGACTGAGCCATATTTTGTGGGAATGAGGTTGTGCTCCCATAATTGTTTTCTTCGCACACCAGCCCTTTCGTTTTGAGGAGGGGTGGGACTCGTGTAGGCTTCTCATTTGCCTATTTATACCAAAGGGGGTTTTCTATGGTTTCAGTTCTTTCACGTATCATACCTCCGAGACGTAAACTTTGAGTTACTGACATTGAGTTCAACATCACAAGTCTATTGACGCCGCGGATTGAACGACGCATTCTGTTATATTTTGCCTTTACCACCTCGTCGAGTATCATAGCTAGAAATAGTGAAGGGGAGGTAATAATAATAGCCCCTCTGGAATAAAACAAAAATTATGTGGACCGGCATCTATTAGAAAACCGCTCGGCGTAGGAATGAATCGAACGAGGACTAATAAATTTCTGACAATCTAGCCCTACCGCCCGAATTGCGCTGCGTGGAGGAAGCAGAAGCGCCAGGTATCATATTATTGCCGACGAAGAAGAAAGAGGGAGGAACACCCAGGCGGAAAAGATGGGTATTGATAAAGAAAATCAGGGGGGGGGGGTTATCTGGAATACTGCTGCTAGTAATTTACCCATACAAGTGGCGGGCAATGAATTTTGTACCGGGGGAGATGGAGTACCGTTTGGTATCTGATGATTTGGAGACGAGTGTGAACTCTAGGGACTGTTGTGGATACGTTAGCCATTACGGCAGCCTTCGTCCCCGTCAAGAATTTCGTCTAGCACTCACTCTTACGTTGCACAGCATGAGATATTGGTTAATCGGAGGGCTCTTAAAATGTTAGAAATAGATACGTAGTTCCATACATTTGATAAACCCCGGGATGAGAACGCATTGCCACTCTCCCCCGTGTCCAGTGAGTAGAAAAAGTGCGTCTGAGCACTTTAACAGCATATGCTAGTCCTTTGTGGTTTTAGAAATACACCTAGGTATGGTTCGAGAGGTCCAAAAGGTGTACTAGAAATTTCATAGTTTTTTAGCTGCTTCGCCTTT